GGCTGCCGGAGGGACGGGGGAGCAAATAGAAGCAGCGGCGGCGGCGGCGGCGGGGGGGGGCGGGGGGGGAGGAAGCTCCGTCTTGGTCGTCGACGGGCTTGACCTTGCGGCGACGACCTCGGCGATCGAGGGGGCGACGGCGAGGACGGGGAGGGGCCTAGCGGCCGCCATCGCAGCCGTTTTGTCGACCGGCGGCGGCAACGGCGAAGGCATGGATGTCGACGACGAAGACGACGGCAACGGCGGAAACCACCACAAGCGGGAATCGAAGGCATCGACTAGTAGTGTTTGCGGTGGCGCTTGCGCCGGCACCGCCTCCGGTAAGGGGGGATCGACGGCGGCGGCGGCGGCGGCGACAACGAGGGGCCGGGCGATGAGCCGGCTTCCGAGGGACCAGGAGGAGAGGAGGGCGGGGACGAGCCCGCGGCGCCCGCCCCCCCGGCGGAGCAGCACCGGCAGCATGCTCCAGAAGCTCTTCAACAGCAGCAGCGGCCCGTACCAGCCGCAGAAGGTCAAGGAAGAGGTCGCCGCTGCCGCCGCTGCCGCCGCCGGCGTGACGGCTTCTTTGGTCTCTGTCAGCCTGTCCAGCTCGGAAAACGCCGGTAGTACCGCCGACGATATCGTTTTGGCGGCAGAAGGTGCGACGCAGGCAGCAGCGGCGGCCGTGGTACCGCCCCCCCAGACGATACCGGCAGAAACGCCGCTCCACATGGCGCCGCGTTTCGCCCCGTCGCCGCCTCCACCGCGAGGCTTGGCGGCCGCGGGGAAAGCGATGGCCATGGAGACCGTGGAGACCGTGGCGTTGGAGCTGCCGCGGTTCACGGGCGCGGGCATACCTTGCCCCACCCCGAAAGAGGAGGATGCGCCGGCGGCGGCGACGCTGGCCGCCATTGCGCGCGTCGTTTCTGCGGACGACAGGGGGAGAGGGGGTGGCGATGAAGCGTCCGCACCATCCGCGGCGACAACAACAGCCCCAGGCGGCGTGCTTGCTCTCGACAAACCCGCCAAACGCTCAGCGGCGGTGACTAGGTGCGGCTCCGAACGGGGTGGCGGCGGGACGGGCGTGAGCGGCGGTGGTTTAACCGGAGAGGAGAAGGTGGTGGCGGCGCCTGCACTGGCGGCGCCGGCCACGAAGAAGCGGAGAGCCAAGTCGCTTCCCCCCGTTCCGCTGCGCAGGCCTCGCCTGGAGTCTCGCCCCTGTCTGGCGGGCCCCTCGTCTGTCATCCAGAACCTCACCCTTAACGACGACGGCGCCAGCGGCGAGGACGTCGACGCGTGGGCGTTGAGCGAATGGCTAGCGCACGGGGCCGCTTCGGCGACGGCAGCGGCGGGCGGCGGGGGGGTGGGGGGGGGGGGGGCGACCCTCCGCCACCGGCCCCTAAGCTCTTACCACAAAGGCGTGCAACTACCTTAGTGGGTTGAGGATATATTGGGCAGGCTTTTTTTTTTTTCGGTACAGTAGTGTGAAGAAGAGCATCGGCGTATTTTTGTTTGATGCATTTTGGACATGAAGGCGTGTAGTTTGATGGAACCTCGTCCCCTTTTTGGTGGGCCGGCGGGTGGTGTTTTGTGCATCTGATCCACCCGTGGCGCTGATCACATTATTAACATTATTAATTTTGTCGTGAGCGGCGGCAAGAGCTTCGCGTCAACAACCAGCCCGCCACCCAACACTCGCCTGTTTTTCGCTTCGTCTTTCAGGCGGCCGGTGCGTGTTACGTTTTTGGGTGGGGTGAGTGCTGTTTTTTTTCGCAAACGTTTCGCGCTGCCTTCCGCATATGTGCAGATTTTCGGGCGTGTTGGTGTTGCGTTGTCCACGCGGATGAAAATGAGAGATGGTGCTATGTAAACGTTCGGATTTTCCGTTGTGCCGTGTCCGTGTAATATGCGTTTGCACCCCGTAGATGTTTGTCGTAGGTCTGGGCGTATATGTACCGCGGTTTTGCTTCCACGTGACGAGACAGCCTTGGTCGTCGGGGGCACGGTGCTGCACGGGGGGAGGGAACAAATCGTCTCTACCACGCTTGACCAAGCACTCCAGGCAAAAAAATCTAGTTGACCCTATAAAGGCATGAGCTCGGAGGGCTGCAAGGCCTCTTCCGCCAGCACCGGCAGTCGTTTCACTCAATCGTTAATGCTTCAATGTTGATGGATTTCACACATACATGCAGAAAGGGGGGCTAGCTTGCTTTAGGTAGTATGATCTGCAGCCAAGTTTTTTTGGTTGTTTTTCTTCCTCGGGTGGTAGTTGGGCAGAAGAAGAAGGTTATGACGGTGCTTCGGGAACTACTTTGGAAGGACGATGTGGCGCTTGAGAAGAAAGCGAAGGCTCGTTTTTTTTTTCGGGAGCGTTAAGTAAATAGCAGACGAACTACACCGCGCGAGGGTGTAGGGTGGCGCAAGCAAGGGGAGGGGGGAACCGCGAAATCGCAACAATCGCACGGTAGTACTATACCAGCCTTATTGTTGTTCGGAATCAGCGCTCGGCACCGAGCTTGATTTTGTTGTTGCGCTAGACTCTGGGGCGCACACCAGACACGTCCGCTTTTTTGTCTCTCCCTTGTTGTGGTGATTTGATGATTTTTTTTATCCTCCTGGACTCGAGAGGGTACAGACAGAATCCTCGGTGGGGGGGGTATCTGGGCATAAGCTATGTAGCGTTGCGTGCGTGTGTGCCTTGGAACGGATGACTGCTAACTAACGGTAAATAGCTGTGAATGTCGGAGGAGAGGAGGAGGAATTCTCTCTCGCAATGTTCCTTTTCTTTCTCTGTCTGTGAAGAGATGTTATCTAGAGCGGGTGCGTGGTTGCCTAGGGCGGACGTTTGTTGTAAAAAAATGAAAGGAGCGTGGAAGAAGAGAGCAAACTCACGAAAATACACCGCCGCCGTCCGTGCCGCTTGTGTTTAATCTGCGAACCGTCGATGGAATTTATTTAGGTAATTTGAGTATGTTGCCGATGTTTCTTCGAGGATGGAATGGGAATTGAGTGCAGCAGCGGAGGACAGTGCTGCAGCAGGGGTTTTTGTTGTGTCCACGAGCATGGCGTTGTTTTCGGGTGTGTTCTCTCCCCGTGAGGGGTCACAGTAGGCTTCTCTCCGTCGTAAGACCAGGAACGTTGTAGATAAACCTTGGTCATTGCTGTTAGCATTCGCCAAAAACAGCCTTAGATACACGTAGTGTGTGCATCCTTTCTTCAAACTATGATTTTCCATTCCATGCGTGTGCCGTGTGCAGAATAGTAGTACCAGTTGCCGTGGTTGAAAACGGGAAAGGCTTTCGGCCGTCCTTCATGTGCCATAGAGTAAACTGACTGCCCGGAGCTTCACCAATTTTCACAGCGTTGTTGTGTAGTGTTCTCAGTCGCACCGCTGCCTAGCACAATCGCAAGGAAATACCTAGCTAGACGGGGAGCGGCGTCGAACCGATCCGATTTTACCGAGCTTTACCGTAGCTGTACAGTGCAGTAGTCAAGGGATGAAATCGCCTTTGGTTATCTGTGATGCTTCCGTCATGCATGCATGTTCTTTTTCATGTATTTCTCGACATCGTACGTGTCTGGAGTAACCCATTAAAGTAAGGTGGGGGTTGACAACAGTGCCAGGCAATCATTCCGAGATAAAACTCTACAAAAGTTTAAAACACACGCGTGCGTGTGGTTTGTTTCCGTTTTCGGCTACATTATGTGCCTGAAAGTCTTTCGCAGGCAGTTATTTACTGCCGTGTGTGCCTCGCGACCGTAAGGAACGCTTATGTAGGCCACAGCACGAGAAAATCGGACATTACCTATCGTCGCTCCACCTCTTCATACGCATACAATATGGCCTCCCTCTTCCTCCTTCTCCCTCTATTGAAGTCCAATGCGGCAGGCAGCAGAAGCGAAGAGCGAACAGCAACTCACCCAACAACACGTCGCCACCATCACACTACAAGCGGACGCTCGACAACAGCAGACAGCAGCACGAGGAATGCGCATTGACCTAACTAACTTACCGCTCACTTCTAACGATCGATATGATGGACCGATCGATTCATCAAGCACGTCGAAAGCCACGACTTGAGACTTGTCGCTATTATAAGCGTTTCTTGCGGAGCAGTTTTGTTTGGAGTCCCCTCACTTACCGCGATGCGGGGGTGCGGCCAAACCCTAACGCTGCGGCTGCCGTTAACCATGCTACTTCTTTCGCGGACACTCCAACCCGTCCCCTCACGGGCAGATAGATGCAACACTGCAAATGTGGCTAAATCGCATGGGTATACAGTAGGGTAGGGTAGCGCTTCTTGTTCATCTCAAGAAGGAGCGCTTTCATCGAGTTGTGTCGTACATATGCCTGCCCACTAAAGCTGTTGACTAGCCAGCAGGCGTACGGTCCCACGTGAGCGCGCCCTTGTTGCTGATTGGACCGAGGCAGCAGGGGGGGGCACAAACATACACACCGAGACCACACAGAACACAACACCAAATACATAAATTGCAGGATCAACACCCCGCAAAGAAAGAATGCACTACTGCACACGCGCGCGACCAAGGGCAACCCAACAGTGTTCTTTAGTTCTTTTGGCCACGGCCAAGCCGCCACTGCCCTTCTGCACTATTACTTGCGGCTCAAAGAGCATAGCAGCCGCCCCCCATCCACAGCACCAACTGAGACCTATCTCATTTGTTGTGTGTACCCTTTCCCGACGTTTTTATATCTTCGTCATTGCAATAGCGTAGTAGACGATCGTTTTGTGCGTGTTGGGGGGGGGGGCACCGAGTGCTGCGGGTCTGTCACCGTTATGCGTGCATGATACCAACGTTTCAGAACTCGCGACACACGCTGTGCACGTCCTACTGTCGAAGACATCGCAGCACATCATAAAAACCTTCGGAACTACTTACAGTAGTATCGTCTACTTCCAGTTATCACTGATACTACTATTGCAAAGTACCTCGCAACACATGGAAGTATCACACTTGCCGCACTTGTTGGTCACCATGCGAAGCTCTCCACCATTCTAACGTCATCCCCGCTCGAGGCCAACCCAAGCAGTCGAATAACCCTACCTTTTACCCTACGCCTTGGTCAATACCGAGGACATTATGTCCAGGGACGCGTCTATCTGGTCCGCCGTGATGCAGAGAGGAGGGGCCAGTCGAATGATGTTGCCTACCAAGAAAAAAAAGTGACA